TTGATTGGTTGATTGATAATGCGGATGGAAACACATACCGTATCGTCACCGATATCCAATGGCGGTAGATCATCGACATATTCGTTGTTTCCATGATTGACACGTTCCGACTGACCAACAGAATCCGAATTACTCCATCGATTCTTCACATCCGTTCCACTATTCGGCACGATATGCTCAACTTTTCGCTCGAGTTTCACCTCGAATCCGATCGTTGTTTGCTTGCGTTCTTTGGCTTCATGATGGTGATGATGATGGTGATGGTGCAGATGCGTTCCTTGTTCGTCGTTCTCACCGCCAGAATCTGGCTCAATCACCGAGTTGGAACTCGCCTCGGCGCTCGACGGCGACTGCGTTGGTTTCTGGATATCGATCAACACCGGTTGTGTCGTATTCTCGTCGATCAATCGGATTTCAATCCGCTCTATTGGAGCATCCAAACGCTCAACTGAAAGCAGCACATATGCGCATCTTGAGTGATTCATTACTGCAAAACTTTTGCATTGAATGAGTCTTGATTGGCACTGAAGTGGATCTATAAAACGGAAATCATTCTGCTATTGACGTGTTCTGTAAAGCTATCAGGCCGAGCTGTAAGGCGTTCGGTAAATGCATCACCTGCATTGCTATATGTTGCGCAATATATGCACTCGTGAAAAGGCAATGCGATGTTTCTGAAGGTAATATGGACGACATGAAGGTGATGAATTTAGATTCGCGGAAAACTTTTGGAAAGCATGTGGGCAGATGAATGATGTTGTGTACCTCGAAATGATGTGGACGTATCGATAATCAGCGTCTTTTCGTTACCTCCTAAAACCACCGAATCAACACCGTTGCTAGCAATCCGCAACGGTCCTGACGTTGCAAAATGCACACTCAAAAGTAGTAGTATCTCTATGCTCCGCAAACAGTTGCACAGCATCTGAAATACACTCTCATTGTCATCAACTGTAGTATTCCGCACAGTATTGATACATTTCTTGTGCATAGCAAATCGATATGAGCACTGAAAATGCGTTGGAATATTTTATCGAAATCAACAGAATACAGCTGGAAGTTTCTTGAAATGGCCATTGTTGAAATTCAAAGAGGGTTGTGAGAATTGAACAGTCTAATGAAGGTATTTCATAGGCTATACAAGCACTCAGCGACATCAAACGACTATCGGTGTTAATTTTGGTGACAGGTCAATCTGCCTAAAGACATTTTGCCTAACGACAGTTTGCCTAACGGATAGTTTGCCTAACTTACGGTTTTTTAATGGATATTTCGCCTAATATGCAAACTGTTCCTTAGGCAAATTGTCCGTTAGGCAATGTGTCTTTAGGAAAACTGTCGTT